GCCCTGTATTACGAAGTCGCAAAACCATCAGTCACTTAGTTTATTACTAGGACGTATTCTGCTGTATATTTCCAACCGTTTTGCGATAGTATTTTCTAGAATGAAGGCAGCATTTACAATTCATTCAAAGTTCAAAGTTGAGTTGGGATTACGTTGATACAGTGTAACAACGTCGGCGTCGGTGATCTCTTACCAGTGCGCAAAGTAGCCAACATAAAAAGCATGATCATCTGAGCCAAAATAAAAAGCATGATCATCTGAACACTGCTATTACAAAACTGGTAGGAGGTAATACATTTGGGGCGAAAGTATTCAAAAATCAGTTTTTGGCTGTTGCAATGGCAGTGGTGGGCCAGGATTGTTTTCAATTAGTGACGGTACGACCTACCTGTGAAGTATGAACAAAATCAGCCCAGCCAAAAAAATCACAGAGGAGTTAAAAGCCGTTGCTGGTTACCCCAACTTTGGGGTCAAATTTCTCGGTAATGAAAAAAGTTATCAAATATTCAAATAGTAACTTTGTTCCCACACTCAAGCTGGGTAGAATGAGCTATGTCTGAGTTGTTTTATTCCAAATTTGTAGGAGGAGATACATTTGCCACGAAGCTATCCAAAAAAAAAACACAGTTTTTGGCTGTTGCTATGGCAGATTTTTCATAATTACTAGGGTGAAGGTGTGACCTACCTGCCAAGTTTGAGCAAAATCGGCCAAGCCAAAAAAATCACAGAAGAAATAATACGAGAGGATGTCCCTCTGTTATAGAGAAATAACACTTACAACATAATAGAATCTTCAAAAACCTTTTGTAATGAAGCAAGTGGGTGATATCAGCACTGAGTTTTAAAATGGTATAGTACCCCATTAATCGCAGATTTTGTGGAATTCGTCATCCGCACCTGGATGCATCTTAGTTTCATACAACCACACCATTCACAATATTGAAGTTGTTTGATTGGCTACGTAATAACGGCTGAATCTGCAAAATGACACATGGCCAACTTTTCCCAGTTCCCATTGACGCGCATCGTGGAGAGATGGAAGCATATCCCACTTTCTCGGACGTTTCCAACGATAACCTAATAGAAGCCACGCAGGCAGCTGAATATAAGAATCAGCTCGGGTTTGATAATGTTTACGTTTTGACCCACCCCAAATTACTTTACACGAGTCACCAGGTGAAACGCCTTATTTAAAATATGTGGAAGACGTGTCGAAATGCAACCAAGATGGTCTAAAGCATCGCAGAGTGAGACGAAAGGAGGTAATACATTATGCAAATGCTGAAAAATCCCGACAATGCCATATTAGAATAATATACACCGGAGGGAAAACAAAAAGCATTCTACCTGCAACCCCGGCGTAAATACGAAGAATCGTATGAAATTATGTGCGATTGGTTTGGTCAGGTAATAACCGTTTTGAAATGGAAGATGAATCCCAAAATGGCAACGAAGGACGTTTCGCGCTGTGTCAACGTTTACGTTCATTGGTGTGATACTATTTTCAGCACGCGCTGATAGCAAGGGAAAATGTTTGAATGTAACGAAAGCGTGACGTAAAATTACCAAATAAGGAAGACATTCCATCGCGTCCGTAACACTTTCGAAGTCAGTGCAGAATTTCGCGCATGCTTAAATTGTTTTGTGTTTCCTGTGTATTATAATCAGTGTTATGCGCGACATGTTCCATTCTGTGTCAACCATTTCCTGAGTCTTTGTCACACCAATCAGTGTTATTTTAGTACGCACTGGATAGAAAACAACGTGCACAAACTGGTATTTGTATTTAGTGTACACTTTATACACTCGCACTTATATTCCTGTAATACCAAGTAATCGGGTTACATAATAAGTACATTTGCACTGCTCTATACAATGCATTGTACATGGTTGACATTTATAACATCAGTAAAATGCTGTAGATGACAATAACTCGAATGGTAGGGTGTTTCCAAGACAGGTATGTAATACTCGGGAACTTATTCTTTAAGTGAATCATGTTACACTAATATAAGTTAAGAGACGGGTATTATAGGCAACCCGGGACTCTTTTGAAACAGTCTAGAGACAGTCTAGTGATGTTTCATGAATAATGTAAATGAGTAACAAATAAGGTGTTTGTATTTTATTATAGACATGTTGTCTTGACTCGCCTCCTCAAAAATGTTAATTCGTTTTTAATTCAATATAACACATATTTTATATGTTTGGTTGTGCATATTTTCCAGCGTTTTAAATGACAATCATTTGACGAGCAAATCCTCAAACTTTGGTTTCTGTGACAGTTAATTGCCTTTCTTGTGTGAGTTGTTAACTAGGTTACTCTGGTTCGGATTCTCCATCCTGTAAATTCCGGGGATAGATCTTACTTGGGATAATAGTTCGTTCACTCTGATAAATACACGCAACACGATAGTTCAGTCTAGTAATCGTTGTTAGCTGAGTGGTGACTGAAACTTTATTCAATTCTCTGCAAAAGCACATAAAGTTATATGTAGCCTAGAAGAATCTGAATTAAACTTTGCCTCTAAAGTTGCACTAGCCAACTAGCCGAATGCTATACGTTAAGATTACAGTAATTATTGGCGGACAGTTGCACAAATATTTACTGTTGGTCAGTTTCGCACGTGGTCATTTATTAAACTTTTTTGTCGGCGTTGCTCAAGTACTCGTCATGGAAATATGCATTTGATTACGCTGTCTAGTATTGTGGGGCAAAGTTCAACGCTTTGCTTAAATTTTTTGTTCGTTTTCCTTACATTAAACGAGCCTTTGTAAGGAAGGCTTCTCCATAAATCGACCCTGTAGTCTTATGTTTAAGATTCATACGTGTATGTCGGTTTTCAGACGTTTCCTTTTCCATTGTTATTAGTAAACACGCGTTTAAATAGTTAGCTTCAAAGTGAGGGTCAATGCTAGAAATGCTGCGTTTCTAGTAAAAAAATATAATGAAAATGTCTATAATAAAGGAACACACAATCCTACTTAATGTGGTAAAAGGGGATCTTTAGTGCACTACCAGTATATATAATTGCCTCTTCAATGTGAACCATAAAGGCGTAGTCTATATTACTAACGTTGAAACAAATTAATTATCGCTGCTCGACTGGTATTGTAAGAAGTGTGTATCAGACTTTTTTAAAGAAAAAAATGTTTTCTTTTTATTCGTGCAAATTGTAAGTACACGTGTGAACCAAAACCCGGCGGGAAAGGAGTCTGTACTGAATTATACTGCTGCTTGAATATTTTAGTTATAAATAAATTAATAAATAATGAGCATATTGTACAATAGTAATTGTGTTTGCATTATTTATTATTTCTACATCAATGTTCACGAAATAATTACAGTATGAATATCACCCTAATCCGACTAGTGAATTGAAAATACAATACGCAGCGCAAACAAGAGCAACACACGCGACAAATGACGTTTTAGTTGTTTGTGATATATCTAGACAGACCTGTATTACGGTGTACGTGATATTTATGTCATCCCTTTCCGTTCATCAGATTGTGAAGTTTCAAAGTTAAATTGCTGTTATATTCATATGCGTGTTTTATATATTGTTCTCAGACAATGACAGGAGTGACACAAGCTTGGCCGGCTTGTATATATAACTCACTACCCTAAACACTTGACGCAACCAAGTGAGAGAAGAATGACAGTGGTTGTTTTGTTGAAACTATGCATAGCAAATTATGTTTTAATTAGTTAGGACACTCTTCTTTAAGCGAATATTGTACGAGATTTGACCAGTTTCACGACATGTACACACAAGCAATAGACAGTGTCTATATGTAGTAAACATCGAGTGGTACATCAAGTGATTAAGTGAATATAAAAAAAAAGGCGTGGGAAATATATGATGCTATTAATATATGGATTATATATAATATGTTTTAGTGACAACAATTCGGTTTTGGAAATTGGAATTTATACGCATTCTACGTAAAAAATAAGCACAATATATAATAAGGTTAACGAATACAAAGTAATCATTTGAATGTTCATAATCACGAATTGTGCAATTGAGTTATGTTATACAACCTTTCTGCCATTCAACATTAACATTTTCATCACGTAGCTACCTTACCCCACCTTTACGCAAACACACATGGCGCAGTGTAATTTACATTGAGTCTAATTTAAGTATTTGTTGTGATATATTCTTAGTGAATGACGATGATTAGTTAAACATAAACGTGTATGTTAACTATTACGCAATATAAGAATATAGCATGATTAGTAACGAGAGATATTGGGAGTAACAATACATTATTAGTATGTAGTGTTATCTTTATGTGGAGTTTGAGACGTCCACTTGAACTGCAAACCGAATACGCACATTCTCGTCATTTACGTAATGAACAGCGTACAGCTTGGGAACATAAAGACACACAATGGTGACGTAAGCATTCAACAGTATAGCACATGATAGGACAGAAACTTTAAATGTGGAATCCTGTACGGTTATGTAGGTCGGTATAAATGCCATCCAAATGACCAAGGTTGTGTACACACTCAGGGCAATAAAGCGGGACTCGTTGTAGTTATCAGGCACTTTGCGGGTTTTAAAAGCAAACCAACAACAGAGAACGATTAGTAAGATATTCCACGCCACAGAAGCTCCTATCTCAGCTGCGCTGACGTTGCAGCTCAACTCCACTCTTTTCTTTGTCTCAATCGGCATCTCAAGGACTGCGTTGGGTGGAATTACTATTGCCCATATCACGTTGATGCACAGCTGAAAGTAAACAGTAAATATTTCATGTAATTTAAGCAAAACCAATTTCACGTCGTTTCTGTAATCATTATAATTGTCATTGTATTCTTACAGTTATCATGTAAACTAAATTCAGCTGCACATATATATACAGATGATCACTGTTTGAGAATCAATCGATAGTGACCTGTCAGGAATATTTTCATATTGAGACAAAAAGTAAATTTATCGGTGGGCAAATGAGAGTAGGACAATCCTTCAAATTACAGTTTAAGCTTTACAGCATTTTAGATAAAATGTAGATGCTACTAAAACATAATATGACAAGTTCGAATGAATTAGATGAGAGGATTACAACATTCATATGCATATTCATAAAGTGTGTGGTCTCTGTATCACTTTTTGAACATAACCATTATTTCGCGAATTTGGGTCATGGACACTATAAACAAAAGCTGCACTGTAATATGACAAGTGAATGACGTCACAATGCTGTAAGCACTAAATTATCATTGGTTATCGCAAAAAAAAGACGAAAGATGACAATTGACAAATTAAAATTATGATGTTTTAGTTAAAAACAGAAAAGACAAAACAATTCATATACCTTGGCATTTGTTATACGCTCAACACACAGTGTGTTAATTATATTTCGCGTTTGAAGACAATTAATACTATTTTTATATTATAAAATAGGATCCATACGGTCACGTGACATACACTACTTTTCGAGTCAATCTCGTTCATTCATCATCACTAACAGCTTTCACTTAAATGATTAGTCGTTACTATTATCTATTAACAATTATAATTTGATAAAAAGACACATGCCCCAAATATCTATAAGCTGTTCATTCTTCGAAGTCGAAATCATTTCACCATTATTCGGTTTATTATAATGGAAAATAAACGTATTTTTAGTTTGAAGAAATCTTTTCGGATTTTTGCAATTGAGTTGGGACTGGGGGATTCATTCAAGAGCTGTAACAAAAACAACATCATATTGAGTTCTTAACAGGATACCGGATCTTTAAAACCCAGGAAGAGGCGGAAACACTATCTCGTGATAATTTGCATTACTCTCCGCAGAAACATCTGCTTATACAAGTTATTACACGGAAATCTGCAAATTTCCCGCCAACGACCCCCATACAATAACCAATGTCGTACAATCTCAGGCGAATAGTCGCAAACAACGTATTGCTAGTGTGTTCCATGTATGTGTGATGTTCGTTTCCATGACTACAAACTGAATATAGTCGTCTGCCTTGGGTGTGAAAATGAGAGCCTTACCTGAATGACAATAATCGTGGACGTGATGATAACTTGGGACGTCGGTCCTATCATGGTGAGACGTTTTGTCGATTTTGAACTAGACTTGAAGATCCTGTATATACGTACCACTTTGGTCAGCATGGGAGCATACGTAACAGTGAAACATAACATCAACCCAAGGCGCACCAAAACACAGGTCGGCAAAGTTGGTTTAGCCACAAAAACAAAAACCATTATATAGGAGAAAGTGACTCCGGCCAACATTATATAGCTCAGTTCACGACTAGATGCCTTTATCAATGGTTTGTTTCGATATATTACATAGCCGAATGTTGTTATGACGGATATCGCAAGTCCGATCAACGACACTGAGATCAGCGAAACTGCGATTGGCTCATTCCATTCCAAATACGTTGGCAGTATCGGTTCACATCTCATGAAATCTATATCTGGCCAATTTAACAACTCACAGGGACGACATTCTGTGTAATTGTTTGCTGGAATTTCGTTATCGCGACATTGAAAACAATCCCAACAGCAGACGTCGCCATGGGGTATCACGATGTGACCCTTCGGACATGGTTCACTGCAGACAGATTTTGGTGTCTCCGCTTTTGGATTCGTCTCGACACCCCATGTAACAGCGCCATTGTCCATGGAGAGCTTTTCTTCATCTGCAAGGGAGTCCCAGAACCCGACCGTCACCCTCTCGTACCGACCATTGATCAACTGTAAATTTTTTACAACGTATTTACCGAGGAGATCGCCATTTTCGTCGAACTGAACGAGTCCTCGAGTTCCATAAAAACTGCTATTTCGCAGGTAAGGCAACAAAGCGCGACCATCAGCTTTAAGGAAGTCTTCACATACGCCTACCCCGTTCCCACATAGGTGGTACCGCATCGATTCCAGACTGAATCCGTATGTGTAAACAGCGTCAATAACAGCTGATATGCCCATGTTGGCACTGAAACCATCCTCCTGACTTTCGCCCATATTATAATGAGTCCAATATTCGCCCAACCAAGGATTCTCACTACTTTCCAGTGCGATTGTTTTGAAGTAACTTTCATAACCGTCGGATCTGGTGTTGAATTGTTCAATAAAAAATCCGCCATGTCCTACACCCCCATTACCGTTGGCGACTAGGTCGTAAACGCCATCACTGCCTATCCAAATAAACTTGTCAGTAGCGTTAGCTCTTTTAACGCCTTCAAAGACACGGTTTGCCATATACACAACCGAGAATATAACAACGACTGACGCCTCTCGGTGATCTAAGAGATTATTTACAATTACATCAATCTGTGCATCATTGGCGAATCGTGATACTTCCTCCGCTGTTGCTATACAGATGTCGAGAAGGGCTGCTTGTCTTTTTATTTCGTTAGCGCCGTATTTACCATACGATCCATCGGAATTCACCAATGAAATGTACGTCCAATTGAAATGCCTAATAACATCCATCATGGTGCTCACTTGTAACCGATCGGGAGGGACTGCTCGTAAGTAAAAAGGGAACGCCGATTTGTCGCTCAATTCGTCACTGGATGCCATGTAGGTAATCTGCGGCATGTGATACAATCCGAAGACTCGGCTAATCGCAGCGCTGACAGAGCTACGTCGCGGTCCAACTACACCTTTCAATTTATGCCCGACACCAGCAGTACCATCGCAGAGGTCGGACTTAGTGATGTTTTCTAGAAGAGCAAAAGTGGCTGACAAGGCAACGTCCTCTGACACACAACTATCATAAATCTCATATCCGATTGTAACACCGGGCAGTATGTCTTGTCTGGAGTTGATTTCCTCTATAGTGTAAACCATGGCTTCCACGCGATGCAGCACAGACACCGCGTCCAAATTCACGCATTCTCGATTGGAATCGAAAATATGCAAATTCAATAGTCCTCCTAAGATGATGTCACCGTCTTTGTAGAACTTTGTATCAGTCAGCCGCGGCACGTGGTTGCCATAGACTAGCGCATGGATAGCGAAACATGTAAACCAAATGTTACGATTCATTATCGGTCTCTAACGCATTATATCAATTCGTGATGTTTATCGTAAGTGAATGTGGATAGAACGCGATTCAAAATTCAACCGATGAAACCTCCCTTGCCAAATGAGCTGATGTATGATAGAGCGACACATTTTATAGGCTGATTGCTTCCTACATCTTTGAAGAACCAAATTAAACAGGATGTGAATAATTCATAGCAACGTATATGATACGTCACATGCTACTAGTTACAACTCCAATCATTGTAACGATTAACATACATATGTCAATGAAACATATATAACAATCACAAACGTATAAGTCGTAAATGTCGAGTTCATTTCCCCTCTTATTTAATCAATATATATATATTAATTCTAAGCGACCGCCTCATCACTAGTATACATACACTTGCAGATATAGTGTCACATTTCATGACCCACTTCTGTTATTATTGAACAACACATTAAAACTAAACATAAATATGCTCTGTGTCAACCAGAAACAACATATGTATACCAAGACACCAGCGTTGTTTATAACCAAGATACTTCTGTATGTTCGAATGGTATACAATGTCACAACCTTACTGACATGATGTTACGACGAGATAAAACGCAATTGACCGAACAGTCTATTTAAAAAATACTCCGTTAACTTTCCACCATTTTCTATATTTAGTAATATTGGTACTACCAACTTCCAGCATTTTCTTATTTTACCAACATCCTGCATACTAAATGGCATTTATAATAAATGGACAATTTGTAAGATCATTGTTCTAGTTTTTATGAGTGTTCTCCCCAATTCCAGGTTGTTCGTGTCATTTTACTACTCATGTTTCGTAGAAGGGATGTATGGTGTATATTCACTGTGATCAGGTCTTTGGAATGTATTCTTCAACATCAGTACCGACGTGAATACACGGGTATACACTTAAATACCCTGCTTTGCGTTCCTTAAATTAACGTTCTTCTCTATAGACATGTACTTAGTTTAATTAAAAAAAAAGAATAATATAAATTACGTGTTCTTTGAAATATTATTTGATATGATATTTTATATTCAGTACGCAATATTTTTACTTTTAGCAAAGGCAGTTCAACACATGCCAAAGACGACGGGTTAAGCAGAACAGGCTCAACTACCATCATTATGTTATCTTGAAGTTTGGAAGTTTATTGAGCACTTCATTTGGATCGGCGTCTGACTTACTTGGCCCAAGGACGAGGATATCAGTAACTATAGATTTATTATATACTATAGACCCTAATACCAAACAACACATCATATGTGACGCCTACAAGTAAGTATCATATTGCACGTGACTGAATTTCGTTATATTGAGAGATGATTTATTGAGATTAAATTTCCATTTTGTTCAAGTAATCAATATCAATACACATAAATCCCATAGGTATATATGGGCAAATTGAGCTCATTATCTGATTGCCCTCGTCTAATAGAAACCCAAATCATTGAGCTTTCCCGGGCTTTCCAGAATCGACAAAAAATTGCTTGGAGATACGGCTTAATTGTTTGAATTTAAGTAATACAATATGCTTGTAGTAACTTTAAGCGTCAATGGTATTAAATCACACAATAATTTGCCCCTACTGAAATTATATACTGATATAATTCGAGTGTCATATTAAATAGTGAATAGGGCACTTCAAAGTTGGACGTTGATATAATGGTATATACACTGAAATGAAAAGAAAATACGATCGGTAATTTAATATTCGCTACAACCTATAGCTATTTAGACTATTATAGTTCTCAAGAAAATGGCGCGACATTTAGTCTAAATTACATCAGGTGATTTTTATAGCATGACATAATTTTGTATAATTTGGTTTAAGCTTAATTCATTGCTCAACAGCGTACGTCATTGGAAGACATTTAACAAGAGTGCAATTATCTTCATTTGGTAGAAATATACTTAAATTATTGCTATGCGCAAAAGGTTATATTTTACTTGAATCGTCACATTATTCACAGAACACACAAACACTATTTCAGTTGATAGTATGTCCGACGTTTTCTAGAATCTCATTAATTGTAAAAACTTATAGATATGAATGAGTTATGTATCACTGTGGATATAATGAAGGAGATACTACGAAATTGTAAAATTATAGTTTTTTTTTGCATTGAATTTCTTTTGAAAGATTGACGTCAAAACTACGTCCTCTCAGGTTTGGATTGAATGGAGTTTTTAAGAACCTTTCCCAGCTTGTCTAGTTAATGAGACATGTATTGCCGTCTTTAAATTTGATACATTTTTAAAGCAGTACGCATTTGTGCAAAGTTAAAAATCGTGTGTTTAATTTCACCAAACGTGTTTACCGATATGTCGATCGACTTAACGCAAATCTGGGTGAATTTCGCGTATCAGTATATTTGACATTTAAAATTTTCTGACGATAATCTAAAATTGGAGTAAGACTTTATTGAGTTGCGGCAAGTATTTTCCGTGCCATTGATTGATGCGTTTAAGAATAGGTATAAAAGAACGCGTAATTAACAAGAACTAACATTAGATTCGAAGACATTCTTTTTCTCGGAAACAATTAAGAATGTTATCAATTCACAGTACAGGTGAGTGGATCCATGGATGACGGGAGACTTATGCGATGTGTCATCAGAACAAAACACACACATATGTATATAGTTGTTTGAAATTGTGCGTTAAATTGCTAAGAACATTTTCCGGTAAAAAAAAGATATTAGTCATTTACTACGGATATGACCATTAACAAAGGATGCCAGCTACATACACACACGTGTAAATGTCAGGAAATGAAACTGAATTCAGTTATTATTGGTTGAGTTCAACTCCCTTTCAAAGTACAGTATAAGCAAAGTACATGTACATATAACATATATCCAAGTCGGTTTCACAATATGAATTTAACTTACTATTATAATTATTGTGTAATGTAACATCGCATACATACCGAAATCATTAGTGATCCTAATATGCACGCATTTAATATTGTTTACACAAACTAATTGTGTATGTATATATGCATTGTAATCATTCAGTGGGTTTCGCTCAAACGTGCTGATGGTGGCACTTTTTGTTTGGTTTGAGCGTATACAATAGGTCGGAAGAACTAGTGCTGTTTTCAGTAGACCATATGAACCCTTTCAACATTACTATTGAATACTACTATCATTACGTTGTGTAATTACTGAATGTGACGCGCTTCCTTCGTCATTATTTACAACCCTACTTGTTAATTGTGAACAAGTAGTTTATCTTGTTAAGCCTTTCAAATGCGTTGGTGGTTCAACACAGTGTATTAGATGTCAATAATTGTTAAAACCATAGGTCGTGTATATCATAAACACAGTTATTAGACTTTCCTGTTTCCATAAATTAAGTACTATATGTTGAATATTTTCTTAATATTAAGTATGTTTCATGATAGTAATGGGGTCTTTAATGGAGAGTCAGGCAGTGAATTATTTTTGTTATATAATTAGAGAGCTAATGGCATCTAGTGTAGTGTAGATACTGCTTAGGACATGCTCGGTTTTACCCTAGCGTACAAATGTATTCAGACGTCTGAAATTCAGTGCATGAGGGCGCACATCGATTGCGTCTGATTCATCTGATTCTGATTCACCACATAACCAAGCACAACAGAACTTCAAAACAAACATTCATGGGTGACTCATAATGTACAAGGGATTGTTTTAGAGACCAGTTCATACACAGATACAAGGGACACGCTCAAATAAATTGTATAAATAATACTTATGCACAATGATTTTTAACGTAGGAATATGTGAAATCACGCAACCTACACATGACTTACTTAATCTGAACGTGAAACCCAAATGTCACATGGAAAATCAGCCATACGAGACACACGTGTAACTCGAGACCTTCCATTGTTCGGTGTGGCTATCAGGCGTGGACGCGTGGCATAGGTAGCAGCAGTGTGCGAGTTTGTTATGAGATCAATTTGTGTCATTTTACCACTCCCGATCTTGGTCTCGCACTAACCTAAACATTTCCCTGGTCGGTGACACGATGGGATGCGAACATTCAGGTGTTTGTGTGGGACGCTGGTGGTAGTGAATCAAAGGTATTATCCTTATCTGCTGATACTCATTGTATTAGTACGTGGGTCAGTATTCCATGGGTTTATACAATGTACTGGACAGGTGGGCGCCTCGTCAACGGGAGGCATATTTTGAATTGACCTTTGTTTTCTACAAATGTTGGTAATATTATTTATTAACCTTCGGTGCACTGGGAATCAATTGACGCTCCGATGTGGTTACTGTACTTCCCAAGATAGTGAAGGAACATGCGAATTGTATGAAATTTTGCATTAAATCAGGTACAAAGTGTTTGAATACTGTTATGTATAGTTATTCGAGGTAAGTTTGTCAACATGTGTTTGACAAGCATTATACTTAGTGCCAACTTTATTTGTAATATTGACGTTTTGTACCTGTCTTATGACGTTACTTTGTTTCGGTTGTGTGGTGCCTGTATATGCCACTAGCTGTGCGTCGTACCTTAGTGTGGAATGGGAAGAGGGTGCAACCGTTTAGCTATAGGATTACAGAAGCACGGAACCATCGTATGCATAAAAGCTCGCTGAATTCACTCTACGTAGCTAAACTAATTCGGATACACTTCGTGTGTCATGGTGATCGTTATTGAGTTTACTTTGTAAAATTAACTGACAACTGATTATTTGCATCGCAGAGCGTTTTACCTTTAACATTTTTAGGGATATTGCAATACGGTATTGATCGGTTTTCATGATTAGTTTATTTTTGCACACGCCGCATAGGTGGTGACGTAATACACTGTTGTAGTCACAATAATGGCTAATGATGTAATACATTATTGTATTCACTATCATAACTAGTGACGTAATACACTGTTGTATCACTGTAATGTATAATGACTTAATATAGAGGACGCTATATAGCATAACACAGGGGAGTTGCAGATGCTTCGAGCTATATTTTTAAATTTTTACTTGTTTAAGCG